TGGGTGTTCGGATTTATATGTCACTTAGTATATATTGAGGCTGCGACGGTACTGAAACTTTCTACCTCTCTACCTGAAGGGGCTTCACCCTGTTCTACTAACCTTAGGCAGTTCAAATTAAGTTCGGATTAACAAAGTTTCTTTAGGCTCCTCATAGCAGCCGAGGTGCCCTAGCATTTAGGCTTCTGCTTGCAATATTTCTTTGGTGTCAAAAATACTACTACACTACAGCTCTAAGTTGTCAAGTGTTACTCAACTGCTCAACGCTAACAAGGAAGCGATATCCCCGAAAAAGACAGGAATCTATTTTTTTCATCTAGGTGAGTGGCTTCTAATCCTATGATGCACGTGGCCCTTTTTAGTGAAGCTGGAATGGTACTACTTGTATTCTCTAGTGCTTGCTTGTTTTGATAATTATTTACTAAGCGATAACGCCATACTATCTTTATACAAAGCTACCTCTCCTCTGCCAATACGATCGAAGATCTTCTAGGAATAAGAGCATCTGACTCATCCTCCAGGATTCGACAGCATTGTTCACGCATAGTTTCTCGGACCGGGCACAAAAACTAAATAACTGCTTCTCAACTGAGCATCCAGCCTAAGCAACTTTAAAAACTACTAAAAATTACCGTGAAGCAACCGGATGGAAGGACTTTTCGCATCTGCAGGTAACTGGCTGTTTTCCTTTCCATGTGAAGTGAAATGCTTTATGCTTTTCCTTTTTGGCCATCAATGTTATGAACTGTACCATATTTATGTTCTCTTTAACCTTTATTGTAGTTTATCAGTTGTGTCTGTCTTTAGGTCGGGTTGATAATCAGCGTATGCTGAAACTCCATCTTTTCGTTCATCTTTTCCTTTTCCAATTGTATCTATCACTTTCTAATGCTGTCATGAATAAAGGCCATTTGTTATTATAATTATATTCGTTTTTTGGATATTTCAAAAATTCAAGTTCAGCACGTTGTTACGACTTTTTTTGTTGTAAATTATAGTTGCCTAGATTTTAGGAATTAGAGGGCTCTCTACTACTTACTCGTTTATTGGTTCATAAGATACGATATAAACAGATAAGAATATATGGATCTCATACCCTTGCTAAAATTTATTGTGTATAGGGGTATATATACATTGAACATATCATTTTGTGTTTCTGCTTTTACCTGTTGATCCCCTTTTGGTGGACCTGCCCTAGCGAGCCTGAAACAAAACTTAATAAGTAGCAGATGTATCACTCACACTATTGAAGCCAAATTACTTGTTCCCTTTTGTAAATTAGTGACGCTGAAGCCACCCTAGTTATTGTTTATAATTTTATAACCTTTATAGCAATAAAGTTTGCGGACAGGTGTCAAGTCGGCTGTCACTGTCAAAGGTGAAAATCATAGTATGCCAACTGGCGTGGAAATGTCAGGCCGCGAGACGCGTGCAACCAATAAGGAAAAAAAGATCGCCATTGCAATTTTTCGGTATCGAACAGTGCGTCTGTTTCGCAAGTGCGGATTTGGTTCCGAAACATAGCTGAATAAAAGTAAAATCTTTACAATTTTAATTGCTGTACGCGTTCGCACCACTAGTATTGTGGGATCACTAAGATTGGAAGATTTCCCTCCACTTTAAAGTCCATCCTACACCCTAGGTAGGTAGCTTACATTTTTATTGCTGCCCTTAGCTTATGCTTGAAGCACTCATGTAGTGCGCGATTAATTGCTTTGGAGTGCATGTTGTAGCATCAGGGCTGTACAACTTAATGTGTCCCAAGGGCCACTTCAAAAAAAAATGCAGCTTGGAGGGCCGCATTATTGAATCTTTTTATACAACATTATTAGTGAGTTTGTAAGAATTGTGCATATTCGGTATTTGAGAGTAATTTATACATGTGATGTATACATGACCCGTGAAGCGGGCCGCAAGAAAGAAGTTCGCGGGCCGTATGTTGGACAGCCCTGTTGTAGCTTATGCTTGACTTTTGTTCACAGGCCTTTTTTTGTTTTCCTTTTTCTCTGTTTTTTTCTTCACTTCAACGTCTTCTACTTCCCGTACGTTCTCTTCTACATTCTTCGTGCATAACTGAGACCAGGATTTGACCAGAACTACATTCTGCCTCCTCAGAAGATAAGCTGCTACGTTGAACCTAGCATTGCCTGAAACCTTAACGTTGTACCGCTTTGGCTCGCTTTCTGCTACATTCCTACATTTTACCATATGAGGGCTGGTTAACACCACCAAGGGACCTCCAACAGGTTATTCCAGAGATTACAGGTCAGACTAGACTAAAAGATGTATGTAAGACTTCAGGTTTCTTGTACAGCTGAAATACAGAGTACCTGATTTGTTTGCTGTAAGATTATCCACTAGTTTAAGACCACTTTGTACATGTTTCACCTTTCAGTGCGCATACTTAACCAGCAGTAGATCACGCCATAGACATATCTGGGGACCCCCTTCTTTCGTAACACATCACTTTGCCCAGAAAATGGTGTAATATGAGACATACCGTATCTGCATGCAAGTGTTACGACTTCTTGTAGCCATAGGAGGTAGCATATAAGGTGGCCGACCTCTCTTTTAGTGAGATTCTTATACATAGCATACGGCGTTGTCTTTTCAGGAAATATATATCGTTTCAATCCGAACTTTGTAATTTCTTTCATTGTTTACAATTTCTAATAAACAATTCGACAGGTTGACAATTTGACACATTGGAACCACGGAGCTCCATATCGAACTGGACTCCCTGACGCCGCTACCTGGGAGTAGTCACGGCGATTGTATAGTAGTGATACTTTTTACAACTAGGCATTCCTAAACTAGTAAACTACTTGGCGGCTGATCACCGATCGACCGCCGTCGTCCCGATCACCTACACCCGTAGCAACTGGCGCCAAACGTGGCAACTGGCGCCAAATGTAACAACGTACCTAAATTATTATTATGAATTTTTTCAGAGCGCCTCCTACACTCTCCTGACATCGGATATTATCACCTCCTCCGAAATTACATGCGCCTAACCGATTGCCATTGACGCCCAAAACGCCACGCCTGCCCGCCCTTGTGATTAATATGGTAATCTGGAATATGAAGTCATTAGCGCCCTCTGACGGCCATATGTTTGTCTTCTACCCCACGCTCCACTTGTCGACGAAGGGCGTCCCTTGACGTACAACCAGGTTGCTATCATGGAGATTAATGGAGAGAGTTTTTAATTTTGGGTGGATCATGAAATTAACGATGTGTTTCATGAGTGACAATGTGTCCCTGGATACTGTGTAAAAGGTGGAAAGTATTTATGAGGGGAGTAACTGAGCGACTTGGACTCATTTAGGAAGAGCAGTCTTGTCAAATCTATATTCAATTATTAATAAACCGTGACAGTTTTCCAAAATTTCAATCTTTCAGCACTCATATTCAATATTAAGCCCAAAAAAAGTAATTTAAAATTGGTTTGTTTGTCAGTGACATTTTTTTACTGTCTCTGGAAAAAATCAGATTATGGGAATGTTTTGCACTGACCGACTCAGTTGAACTGTAGGACCCAGTTAGTGAGGTCCCCTTCACTTGAGTTGCTATAAGGATATCTTGCACAGTTTCCGCCGCGATACCTTATGCCGATATAGTAAGGTTTCACTCTGCGTTGTAGTGGGTGATTGATAACTGAGCATCAATATTTCAAACAGTTAAGTAGAGAAAATTGAATATTCTGAATTAACAGAAACAAAAACTTTAGTTATTTGACACAAGAATACCAAAGCGTATGAATCCTCAGACCATTCAATCAACTGTTTGGATTTTGTCCAAATTTTTAATGGTCGCCAAGGGTATTACGTATCTTGAAAAGTGACATTATGTCGGATTTTTTTGACATTATATTGGTTTTTTGTGATACTATGTAGGTTTTTCTACAAGACATCAACTTAGAACTAGCTATTCTACTCTTCAGCTATTAATGTTTGGCTCTGATTTGATGTAACATCTGCACCAGATATGGCATTATTGGAATTCTAAGCTGTAAGTTGTATACTATAGCTGGAAGCAAACAGCAGGACATAGTAAGGGTTTGAGCGCTGTTAATACGCATTAATGATAGATCCCTTAGTTTCTTGTCTCAAATACACTTATACAGGTATATGCGTTATCCTGGAAATCTCATATGCAAATTTGCTGAATTTCAAAAATTATTGAGATAGACAAGAAAATCCGTAAGTTGTGAATTATATTACAACTCACTGGTGTGAAAATAGGCTACAGACAGGAATATTCACAAAACGTAAAAGGGTTACATTGTACATTATTTCTTATTCTCATTTAAATTTAATAGAAATTTATTTTACGATGTCAAGTAGAAAATACAAATCAGCTACGAGACGTAGAGCACTGCGAAAGTGTTTTGTGTTTGATGCGTCATTCCTAATTTTATTTGATGTGAGTTAATTACACACAACGCGGCTCAAAGGTATTGGAAACGCAAAAAACCGGAGTAGATTGTTTTTAATAATTTTGAACATAGTTTCTCTTCAGAAAGGACAACACAAATAGTCTATACAGCATATTCAGTAATAATTTTCTCACGTAGCAAATATCACTGATCTTATACACATGCAGACCAATATACAAAATCACCTCACAATCCAGATGCGGCCTTGCTACTCAACCAATTTTCTTCCGTTTATATCTTCTCAGAGATACATACTCTACAGAGTAGCGCAGCATTCTGCAACCAACAAAGCACGGTAGCATGTCCTTGAGTCACTGCTCCATAAATGGCATCAAGGTGACGCTCACAGGGCTCACAGCGAGAAATATCAGAATTCACTATTTGTACACCAGCAGCTATCTAGTCAGAAAGTTAACATTTCATAGTTTTTTTTTATTTTTCATATGTGTCTTACGAAATAACCTTGCGGTTGTAGTGTAAATTAATAGGAGCTATGTAGAGGCGGGACTGCTGTACTCTAAACCGGCTCAATTCACAAAATGAACATGATTATTTTTTTTAGATCAAGAGTTTCATGTCATTTTTAACCCCCATTTTGCCCCCGGCAATCTACGTAAATTGTCTTCAATCGACATCAGCATACGCTGTCAAAGTTTCGTTGATTCCCACGTAATGGTACGGTTACTATGGATGAGAATTCTGACGACATTTAGTCCGAGACCCTCATCAGAAAAAGACGGTTACACTGTGCGCGTTTTCTGACATTTTGATAGTCAGTACGTTTCTGCCGCCCAGCAAATGGACGAAGTTTATGAATTTTATTTCCTTCACTGAAGTTAAATAGTAGTAAAGAGAGCTTGTAATTTTTTTATTTTCTAGTAGACAAAGGGAATATCGAAAGACTATTATTGACAACTTTTGTCTTTCATATTTTTTGTCTCACAGTAAACTATTCTGGTATATAAGAGTTAACATCTTATCGTTGCCCATTGTGAAATAACCAAGAAATTAAGCAAAATGAAGACGCAGGTAAAACGAAAGATTCAAATCTGTTTGGATGCTCAAATCTCACAACAACGCACGTGCTCTGTGGTGCTGGTTGCTGCCAGTGCAAGCAATTTGTCAGAATTCGTCAGAATAAAATTTCGTCGAGTTCGCATCCATAATAACTGTAGCCTACGGTCTATCGTTGCTATCAGGGTAAAATCACCCACTCACTGCATTTTAAATGTGTTGATATCCATCAAAAAGAAAAAAAATAATAGACGAGATCGCTAGTACTTTCAATTATAACCGTACTATTAATTTATTATCTTGGGTAAGGGAAAAGAAGGAGAAGGCATAAATGAGATATATTTTTTGTTTTTGGCGTACCCGAACGCGTCTTCCACTATAACATCTAGACCGAACCGACCAGAAGCACCCGTCACTTGAGAGTAAAGAACGCCAGTAGGTATGCTTTGTTGAGGTTGAAAGGTCACATTTGTTTGCTAATATTTTGAATACTTTTTATATCTCTCCTGCTAAACTGTTTCGGACTTCCACTATGCTCTTTTGCTCACGCCTGATTTTTGAGGTGAAGCTTGAGCTTAAAAGCTTCTTATTCTTAAATAAGCGTGCTGCTTTTGTCCGACTGACGACAAACAACCAACCATGGACTGCTTTTTCGTACTTTTCGGTAACTCATCAGCATGGTCTAGGCTTGGTCACTGGGGACAACGAACGGAGTAATAGATCCATCCAAGGTATATGCTCTCGTAGTGGCCGATTCTGCTAATAGATGCTGCTCCGCACTGTACTGTTTCTTACATAGCCCTGAGATGATAGATCATTTTAAACGCTTGACCAGGAAAGGTGCCGTCTGTAAGTTTTAGAGTAATTTCATTTAATACATATTTAGAACTTTTTCCAAATTACTTCCGGTCATAACTTTAAAAAGGAATTTAATAAGGTGCTTCTCCAGTTACAAGCTTTTACAGCTACATGTTATTAATTAGCAATTTACTACATTGGTATCTCAATGTTGGAACATCGCTATACTATATGTAAAATTATAAACAAGATGACTCTATTAAAATAATTTAAACTTGCTAATTCTCTTTGTAAGTACGCTGTAGACGATGGTGAAAATGGCAATGCCAGTCCTGAGCCTTTTAGAGTGTTGCTTTTTATATTTATCTTCATTTTGTATGAATGCTCCAATAAATATTATTATTATTTTGTAGATCTTGCTATAACAGTACGACTATTATTTTATCCAGTGGAGAAGGATTGAATGCTGTTCTTCTTTGCAAACCTTGAGGGGAGGTTAAGCTGAATGCGAATTTCGTATTCAACATGATTGACCTATTCTGGCTCATTCGTATTTCCTTCGTAGTGACCCCGACGAAATATGATTTCCCGGAGTTTCCCTGGCGACTGAACCGGTTAACGTTAACTGTTAGGGTTAATCGATCTTCCGCACTGACCTATATGTCAGTCTGGGTAGCTGCTGTATCACACGGCTAATAAGCGGGACGGTGTAACCATCCATCATAATTTCCAGAGTTTCCCAGCGAACCTCCTTCAACAGGCACGCGATTTCCAACCGCTGACGTCATTACCTCAACTCTGGTGACGAAAATGTCTTTTTTACCGCTCTCGATAATATATTTTTCCGTGATAGAGTTGTCACATTTGTGGCTAGCCACAATATTTGTAATAGACTGAAAGCAAAAACATCGAACACGATTTGTTGGTGTACGGATTAAGTATTTACGATTTATGTTCAAAGGAAGTTACGTGAGGACATGTAAACGAATCATAAGATAAGAAGGCCTTAACTTGTGATGTCACTATTGTGAATCCTCGTAGAGATCAGATTTTGGGTAAGGCTCAGCAGCACAGTCTTGTGATGAGCTGATATATTTTATGTACAGAGTGCTTTGAAAGTTAGGTACTCCCTTTTAAGAAACAAATCCACTTTAAATATCAAAACACAGTACAGTACAGTAAAGCAAAACTGAATAACAAGCGTCAAGTAGGTTGATTCTGTACTTCCCACTAAGCTGTTTCATTAATTACATTACGTTCGGCTCACTTCCAAATCTAATACCATCTGCAACATTAAAGAAAAGTCGATCAAAGAAATTACATAGGAGATATCGAGTCCTTTTACTGAACATATACTTTTAGCAGACTGGATAACACTCACATGTTGTCATTGACATGGAGAACTGCTGTATCAGTAGCTTCCAAAACAAACTTGCAACAAATTAGCCCCATAGGGAAAAGTTGGCTATACAGATGTTCAACAAAAAGAACAAAAATGCTCTGAGTCAGGCTTATCCGAGAGGCTGCAGTAAAACCAAAGCCTGACTAGGTATCGTAAAACTATGGCTCTGCTTCTGAAACAATAAAAAACAAACTACTCACTTTTTTGTTTTGATTAAAAATGTATGGACTATGCTTTGTGGGTATTGCGGCTTCGCTGTGAGTACCTTTTTTGAAAATGGCCGATTTGTCATCGCCACGCAGCTATTCGCGTACATTTCAACGTTCCGCGTAATTTTACGGTCTCTGGCGGTGAGACAATTAGATGTTGGGCCCGTACATTGGAAGAAACTGGTTCCATTACAAGTCCTTAGGCAACTGGGAGACCCAGATCTGTCACAACACTCGAAAATGTGATGGCTGTGAGGGCAGCAGTTGAATTGTCACCAAGGCGCTCTGCTCGGAGGCATGCGATTACTTGGGATACGTCTGCTCGCTCTTTAAGCTGAGTTCTGCATGAAGAACTGTCATTCCATCCCTATAAAGTCATGGTTGTTCAAGAACTGATGTCTGCTGATTACATCAAAAGTGTAAATCGTTGTCAAAAAATGCTTGAACGAATTCCGAAACATCAACTTTTTTCAGCAGAGATCAGGCCCACTTTTACGTCCGTGGGGTTGTCAATAAGTAGACTTGTCAGTACTGGGCTGACAGTAACCCAAGGCAACTTCATGAGAGACCTCTTCACTGACCTAAAGTGAAGTGGGCGATGAAACCATTTGGGATGATAGGGCCTTTTTTATTGAGTATAATGGTCAAACAGTAACTGTCACAGCTGATCATTATGTTTCAATGCTGCAAGAATTTTTTGAGCCACGATTGCAACAATTGAGTGAGAAAACTAATCTAGGAGATCTGTGGTTCCAACAAGATGCGGCGCACACAGCTCGGCACGGGTATCACGTATCTTGAAAGGTGGCATTATGCCGATTTTTGTTGACATTATGCTGTTTTTTTTGACATTATGTAGGTTTTCCTACAAGAACTTAGCTTAGCACTTAGCTGTACGTGTTGCCTAAACGTCATGAGGTTTGTTATCAATCTTTGGTTCTGATGTGATGTAAAATCTGCTCCTGAGATGGCATTACTGGAGGTCCAAGCTGTAAGTGGTATGTGTTGTTGACAATTACATTGGGTTCTTGTCAAAAATACACTTAATTGAGAGTCAAAGCTATAAATTAGTTGCGCAATCACTTTTTCTTATCCATTCTGGAAATTACGTATACAAATTTGCTGAATTTCAAAAATGAGAGAGATAAGAAATAATTATATTCACTGTACACTGCCGAATTACAGACCATATACATGCTACCAATAATTACACACAACGCGGGCGCGGTGATGATTTCCCGTAATTCTCCTCAGTTTTTCGTAATTTATGACTTTGAACATAACCTGTCTTCAGAAAGCACAACATAAAAATAGCCGGTCGAGCCAATAGATATACTTCATTGGCAGCATATTCAGTAATGATTTTCTCTCACAGCAAATATCACATGCAGACCAATACACATAATCATCCAGATGCGGTCTTGCTATTCAACCAAGTTTCTTTTCAGAGATAAAAACTAGAAACTAGGAACACTCGGCCCCATGAAACACATGCAACCAATAATGCGTGTAGTTTAGTTGAGTGATTCCTCCATAGATAGACGTTCACATCTACCTAGTTTGCAAGGTGGCATCTTATAGGTTTTTTTTTTGACGTTTTATAGGTTTTTTTACATGATATTCTATAGCGAAATTGAGACAAATGTTTCCTGGTCGACTCGTGTCTGTGAGAGGTGACTTGGAATGGCCAGCGCGTTTGCCAGATTTAAGCACTTTTTTCTGTGGCGTTATTTGAAGGAAAAAAGTTCTTAAACATCGCCTCCACACTTTAGATGAGCTAAAGGCCCGTATTGTTTAGGAAATATCCACCACACCACCAGAAATGTGTAGGAAAGCAGCTCAAAACCTCAGAAACAGACTACATCAGTGTATTGCTGCTGCAGGCCACCATCTTGCTGAAGTTGTATTCAAAACTAAATAAAAAAATGAGATTACATACAAATTATAATAAAAAAAGTTTTAAGACTGTAAGTTGCTTAGTTTCTCTTTGACACCTCCTCTAAACCGGTCGTCACTTCAGCCCCACTCTATATTACTACTATCAAACGCTTCTCAAACTTTTGCTCTGGACATCTAAGGGTAGTAAAGCGAGTCTTAGTGACTAACCACAACGAAACAAATACAATATATCAAATATTCCTAAAGCTGCTGCTTGGAGTTTCATTAGCCCCTGATACGCACACCTGCGAA